ATAGAAGGTTGCGAAGCATTTGAACTTGTGGTGTCATCATTCTGAGCAGGCGAACTAATTCGTATATCAGTATATTGGACCTCTGTGGACGGAACATCCGACAATTGACTAATAGAAGGTTGCGAAGCATTTGAACTTGTGGTGTCATCATTCTGAGCAGGCGAACTAATTCGTATATCAGTATATTGGACCTCTGTGGACGGAACATCCGACAATTGACTAATAGAAGGTTGCGAAGCATTTGAACTTGTGGTGTCATCATTCTGAGCAGGCGAACTAATTCGTATATCAGTATATTGGACCTCTGTGGACGGAACATCCGACAATTGACTAATAGAAGGTTGCGAAGCATTTGAACTTGTGGTGTCATCATTCTGAGCAGGCGAACTAACTTGCATGTCAGTAGATTGGACCTCCGTTGATGTAACATCCGACACTTGCATAATAGAAGGTTGCGAAGCTATTAAACTCGAGTCGCCAATATACTGAACAGGTGAATAAGCCTTTCTCGGTCTCGGTGATAACGAAGTAGGTGGGTCAAAAGGAGGGGGCGGAGGTAAATATAATTTCGGAGGGAATAGAACAAAATTTGACGGTGTAGATGTAGGGCTCGATAACGGTGGTGAAGCAGGGATCGATGATGGTGCTAAAGGAGCCATGTTTACAATTAATCCTGTTACAGATTCCCCATTTCTCGCTCTCGTTCTGGTTTCGCGTGTCTCGTGTCTCCTATTCCTTCCAGATTTCCGGCTTGCCTGTTTGTTTCTTGGTTGTTCATCTTTTCTATTTCCCAAGTTTCGTTGTCTGTTTTCAACTCTACGCGACTCTGGTGATTTCTTCATCCCCTTTGATTGCCCTCTCTCAGGATCTTCGATTCTGCTTCGCTTTGCTATGCTAGACTTCCTACTTCCGTGTACATCTGAAACGGAACTAAGTCTTACTATGGAATTCTCTCCAGACTTTCTTGTTAATAGTTGGATCCATTCTTTGAATACACTTTTTTTGGCCGCAAATATGAGAAATATGACCACTCCGACACTGCGATTAAGAGTGAGTGCGATAACTTGGAGAACGAAAGATGGAACCTTGGCATAGGGTGCGCAGTAATTTTGGTCGCCGTTTGTTTCTCTCAGACATTCGGCCCATTCTGGGATCCAATTGCTATCTTGAGTAATGACAACTGCACGAGTTCTAAAGATAAAGTAGAACTGGGAAGGGTTGAATGGAGAAGGATAAGAAGAAAAGAATCTGTTAGCGTCAGATGACAGCAAGGTTATTATTAGTCAAATATAAAAGGTGAGAAGCATGTCTATTATTATTACCACATCCGTGACGTATACGACCAGCATAAAAGCCGCACCCATGAACGCTCTCCATTGCACTCTTATGATATGCTTGATGTGAACAAACAACACCTGCGTTTCCGAGAAAGACATTCTCCCATCTTTTTGCCCTCTGTTCGCTCTGCTTGAGACCTGTAAGGGGAGGGGAGGGGGAAATGTCATTAACAAGTTTTATTATCAATAGTTGCCTGGTCCGAGTTCAACCCCCAGTTAAAGAATTATCCTTACCTTTGCCATATATGCTAACGTAACCAAATGTAAAAGACATACTGGAAATATGAAACTGAGGATGTAGAAGAATATTGGGCTAGCCTTTTGAGAAATAAAGCAAAATCCTCCTGAATCTACTTCGTTGAGTACCATTGGAAGAAAGGCTGCGAGAAAAACCATTATCCAAACGGGTACGTGAAAGTATTTTATATTCCTCATTACAAAATCAGATCTCCAAACAGATAACTACAAAAGTGGAAGAGAGGAAAAGACAAGTTAATTGACATCTCAAGATAATACCACAATGACATTCAAACGAGTCGTCTTTTTTCTACTTGCTTACCATGTGAAGGTTAATGATCAATATGCTTGCCCACAGAGCAACGGCGTACGCGCCGCTAAGTTCGAAGAATGCTTGAGCAGCGCATCGTTTATTATCATGGATCGTTGCCTGCTCTATATCGTTAACACACTGTATACATAATTGGGAAATGTGAGCGGATAAAACAAGAACTCTTATCACAACAACAAACATATTGCCGTTTTTTCTCCACGTCTTACCTGAGTACTCTCTTGGTCTACACTGAAGAAATCAGCAGCAGAGAACAATAGAACGCTTAATGCGAATGGAAGTAATATCTTTTTTATAACAGGATTGTTTTTTGTACTCGGAAGCACGATGAATGTTAAAACCAAAAAAAGCATCAAGAAAAATCCAATTATTCCTATACACCCCAACGTAGTGAATAGCAACTCGAGTTTTCCTTCCCCATAGAAATTATTATAATGTGGACATGGCAAACAACAATCATTTAAGCATTGAACATTAGGTTTGGCGCTACCCTCGGGATCATATATCAACGTTGGAGGACAATACGAGCTTGATACGTTTGCCATTTGTGACGATAGTTAAGATTGAATTATGATCACGGTTGGTGGTGGAGAAATTCGTGTTAATAACAGGAGGGAAACACCAAAGCGTGGAGTGTCGTAGTATAGGTATTATATATACAAGATAGATAGCCAAATCATTGCAAGAATTCAATGGCTAAAAATAAGAATTGATATATTAGCGGAAAAGAATTTGTTGGTCTATTCATTAATTCAAAAAGAACAAAGTCTGGTATTTATAGTTTTGCAAGAAAAGACAACATTACCGAAAACGTACAATTCATCCATCGTAGACACGGGAATCGATATAATAAAGTACATTATAGACGGTTTATATGCGACGAAAGTAAGAAGAAGGGAAGGATGGACATTAAGTATTAGAAAATGGATAAGCATATGTTAGAGACAGATTTCATCACGTGAAACTGGTAATTTTACCAGATTTGCTATCACTCCGAAATACTCACATGCTTAAGCAGACTTTTTTGGTGAAACAAATTGTGAGAAGGAATGTGAGAAGTACTTCGCGAATAATATTCATGCTGGTTACATATAATTAATCGAACATAATGGGTTATGAACAGCTGTTTAAAGCTGACCACAGCACAATTACTTGAATCAGTAATTAATTATTTTATTATATAAAATTATATTATAATCATCCATTTACATAACTTCGATACCAACACCGATCACATTTCCGCTTCCACTTTCAACATATCCGCCAATTGCATTACTATTTTTCTTTCTCTTGTTCTTTTTCTTCCTTTTTCTCTTCTTCTTCCCTAACCCGATTTCGTTTGTACTCCTCAAATTCCCTTCACCATGCCCAAATTCTCCACATCCCATATTTTCCCCAATCGTTTTACGGTCATCGATCCATTCAAGAATTCGTCCGCACACACCACCCGAGGCCACGACATCCTTTAAACCCGTCCATTCCTTGTAAACAATGGGATCGACCATTTCTTCACTCAAATTATCTACATTTTCGAACCACAGCCGTCGAAGATTATCACACTCGGCTATAGAGTCCAAAGGACCGCAGCCTCGGAAATCGACGTCAGTGAAAACAAGAGATGAGAGCTCGTTGGAGAAACCCGAAATAGCAGGAGATATGAGATCCATTTCGGATGTATCAGAGTCAAAGTTGGAGAGGTGGAAGTGAGTAATGTATTGTTGAGATTTGAGGAAGGTGAAGAGAGAGGCATTCTCATCCCAATTCTGTTGCGTAGCGTACGTGCGTACACGCAGCATGTTTATGTCTACGTGAGTCTGTGTAAAGGTATGAGAGTGAAGGTGGGGGAAGGTGGGGGAAGGAGGGGGAAGGTGGGGGAAGGTGGGGGTGTGGGGAATGGGAATTGAGGAAAGAACGGAAAAAGAATCAGAAATATGAGTTTAATAGATCGGAAATTCCAATAAATTTCTAGTCTCTAATATATAATGTTCCATGTCTGTTTTGGATTATAATACGACGTAAATTTACTTTAATGCACAAACTCCCTCTCTCCATCTCTCACATGCTTTTCCCTCTTTTTTCACTTCCGCTTTCTTCATTCTCATACTCACCAACTCCCGACAATTCCGTGCTAACCACAAGAACAATCTTTCTTTATTAAATCCAGTCTTAATCTCCACCCTTTTCAGATTCTCCACCAATTCGTCGTATTCTCTAACCGCCAGGATCATGTATTCATTGTCAAACTCAATGTCATATACATCTCTAGAGTGCGTGTCCATCGATAGACTCTCTAATCGTACACCATGGTTTAGAAATAGTGTAAATATACACTGCATGAGAACGGATACTGGAGACGGAATGGAAGATGATTCATCCGCGACGGAAACAAACCGATCGATATAGTTGTGACTAGCATCTAACATTGCGACATAGTCTAGATGTTTTATCAGTGATGGATAATCAATCCACTTTTTTCTTGAGAGGCTATTATTCACTTTCTGAAACCTTGGCTTAACCAGGCCTATCGTTGCCAACCTTTCCCATTCTTCGTCGCCGACCCATTCTAAATATTTTTCAACTATTTTATAGCTTTGAGTGTAATAAAATGGTTGTTCCCAGAACGTTCTCAATGCGGTTTCGCACCATGAGTGATTGATAAGTAAACAAGAACGGAGAGTCGGAAGTGTAGAAGGAGATAAAGGGGGGAGATGAGAAAGTATATTATAGATAATTGAGGATGGTATAGAGAAAGAGTTACGAGATGTTGCTTGTTCATTAGATGTTAATCTGGGGAGTAAGCGATTGGATCGTTTCTTCTTTTTGGCCATTATGGACGTATAGTAGAGAAATCAATCAGTGGCTATACCCTTTTTAACAATCTCTGACTAGCAAGAGCACTCTCGCCAAGATAAGAAAGACTCTTAATTAATTAATTACATATATATAGCATAATAATAAAGTTTTTTTAATCAAAACTTTTTTCAGTCAAGTGCCACGGGAAAACAATGGGATCAGCTGACTAACTTTAGGGCTGATCACTTCTACGATGTATTCTCAACTTGCATTCCATCATCTTTTCTCATAACACTCCTTAAATTCCCCACCTGTTTACTTTCCTGCTTGCCCCTCTCTCCCCAATCTAATCCTTCGAGCACAGACCTTGACAATTGTGTAACGAAAATGAAATTTGGCATTAACCCCAGATTTTCGTCTATTGCATCATATGTTGTACAATGCAGACGAGATAATCGAGATGGGTAGTAGACTAACGCAAAGGTAAATCGTCAATTGTTCTAAACCATGCAAAGCATCACCGAATGAAACGCCACCACAACATGACTGTTTGTATAATCAGAAAAGATGAGATGAAAAGGTTGTACAAATAGTGGCTGTAATCACAGTGCAACAAATATGCGGAGCTTCTTTTTTGTTTGCTCAGCCACAAGTATTATTGTATGTTGGTATTTTTAGATTATGCTTTGTCTGCAGTATTATTATTTTTTGCTTGCACACCAAATGTACAATCTGGAGTTTATCTCATTGTAATACTTGCCCTTATCATGGGTTACGGTTAATCATAATCACTCGGAGCTGCTAAATAAATCATTTATTGGCTACCATAGCTGACAAAGTGCAAAGTTTCATTCTGTAGATCAACATTCTTATCGGCTGCCATAAATGACAAAGTCTGCGTCTCCCCCCCTCTGACCTAGACATTCAACTTCGACATATTAATGCACATCCCCATTTCCCCTTTGTGATCAATTAAAATTTAAGTATTTGGAATCATCCGACTTCCATCGATCGGTCCCTCCAACTTCCAAACTTTATTTTCTAAGCAAGGTTTAATGTATGCCGCTCGAATAAATGTCCAATAAGACTAATGTCTTCGATTTGCAATGAATGGGAAAGTTCAAGCATCTCGAATGTCTCGATTACATACATAAATGTGTTACGTTCACAACAATAGTGTCCTATCTAGTTTGCTAATTAAATTCCGTCGTGTTATAAGTTGAGCTGTACAGCGCCAATGATAGATTAATTCAGTATGATGATAATAATATCATGTAAAACAAAAGACTAAGATCACGTAGTAACTCAATTTTATCGTCTACAATTATTATTTACTAGGAGCGGCTAGAACGATTATTAGAATATTCTTAAATAGACGCGCGTCACGTCATGGTATAATTAATTCACGTTCTTCGAGTAAGAATGTTATTAGTTTTTATTATTTGCGTCGCCGTTGCTGAATGGAAAGTGTCTATTGCTTATTAAGTCGGGAGAGCAAGACTACGTTAGGGCAAGAATATTCGGAGTAAAACTTAGAGAAATCTGGCTAAAAAAAATGGTACATAAATTGTTAACAAAGAAGGAGAATATCTGACATTACAGTATTTTGTGAACTAGAATCGTTTGATACAGCTTATTATCACTACAACACGCATTCAGCAGGAATGTACAAGACTACGCCTTACCTTTATAACTGTTCTAGCATCCTACTCTCAAAGCATTATTCTCTCATAATACTCAAACACATGTTATCTTGCTTTGACAATCCTGAGCTAAGATGGAGTCTTTTACATGATCGCTTTCCTTTAAACGGTGTTTTAGGTAGACACTACAGACGTTCACAAACTAAAGGTGATTGTTCAAATAGCAATTCTACAGGTACGCTTTCGTTAACGAAAAATTCTAAGAGGCTTAAATCAGTTAATTATTATACGAATAATGAGTGTGGTAACACTGCTGTTTATGATAATTCAACATAGCGTACACACAAGTGATTAATAAATGCAGTCGCTGGATGTTTACTTTTAGGCCTCAAAATCAGTTTATTTGATAACAAATCGTTATCACATTTTTATTATAAAAATGTCCGTTTGCACACCCAATAGTTTACAACTCACACAGATGCTTTGAGCTACGGTTATGTTTGTCGAAAAAGGAAATTGTGGATGCCAAGCAATATACGATTCGCAGCGGTTAACTAAACAAAACGCCTTCTTTATCAGTCTCGTATAAAAGTGAAAATACAGATAAATAAACGCGCGCTTTGCGATATCGTAAGTGTGCGACGTAACACAATAGAATGTTGCTTGAAAAGATTTTTTATTCAAACTATGGTCGTTAGTTCCAGGATCAAGGATATGTATAATACGGCAATTGATAACTTGGTTCAATCCTCCTTATCAAATGGATATGATAAACTTGCGTGGATCCCTCGCAAGCAACTTGATTAGTTTATTAAGAAATCTCAACTACAAACAAACTCAGCAAATAATGTCTATATATATACTTGTTTGGTCTACCTACTTATGATGTAGTCGTTAAATTGATTCCGCACTTGAAATAACGGGTGAGACGGATGATTCATATGATGACAAGGTGACTATAAATAATGTATTATGTTTATTCATGGTTTAGATAAGGTAGTAGCACTCACTAGGAGTTGCTCGGACTTTTCTTTCTTTTAGGTAGATAGTCACCCTGTTCCTGTTAGGATCTATTATGTGTATATAGTAATGTAAAGAAATAACAGCTGTAGCGCCATTAGTATTGATGTTTGGATTACCATTGGATTTGCATACAATGCAAGCAAACAGAAGTATTGTCTAATAGAGAAACGGTATGGGGACACATTATGTCTGGCGTGTGGAGAGCGATTAAAACTTAAAACAAATGCATTTTGTTACGAATGTAAAGCACCTTGCACCTCCTGAATGGACGAGGGGCAACAAGTCATTGGATCCATTCATTAGGAGTGATACTGAGCATGAATACGATGCCTCTATACAATGGAAAGAGTATTCTCTATTGATGAAACGACAACATTACGGCGTGGATGCAGATTGGTTAGATCCGACGGCAAATGAATCGATACAAGTGACACTCAAACAGATAGTTGACGGACAGGATGCTGATTTTTATCAGGTAAATTGTTTTACGTGAAATAATTATGCATTGCATTGATTGTATTTCTTACTGTCGTGCCGACTAAGATAGTAATCGACACTTGGGATTTAGCTAGTCTCGACAGAGCGTGGCGCCTCCTATTCTAGTTAGTTAAATACCGGTTTACAGTTAGTGACCTGGTTAATTCAAGGCTTTTCACTTACGAACTATTTCGTCGTAGAATGAGTAAATCCTAGATAATATAATCGTACTCGAGTATGTTCATCGGTTATTATCGAGGGATCAATCCGATAATCTCCCGTTTGGGGTACAATGGTTTATAAATAAAAAGTAAACGCGTTTCTAAAATAACGATTAAATATCTTAACTCGTCACTCAGATAACTGCGGGGACAAGAGGCAATTATTCTTCGTTGATATACGGATTTAACGGTTTCTCAAATATATCAACTAATTTAGAGAATAGGGATCAATAATATAGGTTCAAAGTAAATGCGATACTCGTTTATTAACGAATAAAAGGATATAGGAATCAATGTCACCATGCAAAACACACACCGGCTCTAGCTGGAACTAGCTGCTTATATACTTTTCGATCGGTCTAATTGAGCTTTTTTAGCGGATATTTCTAATATTTTATCTATTGTTCTTCAGTATACATTTGGACCTTTATAGCATTGCTTCCGCGTTGCTGCAGTACTGCATGTTATACTATTATTAAAAATGTTGCAGTACTGCTTGTACTCAGCAACGGTTAAATATTTGTGCTCCTACTTTCGCTATAAATGTGGCTGCGGCATTGTCGAAGAGACGCAGAAATAAAAGATAGAATATGTCATCGATTTGCGTACTCAAATAGCTAATTAAAGAATACCCGAAAATATTAATACTTGGATAATTGGGATCACTCAAAGGCCATCTACTCAAGCATATTATTTAGTTTTCTACCATAAAATACATGCAATAATGGACATATTTATACAACATTATGAATATGCAAGACATTTGCGGTATATCCAGTATAACAACTTCGATTTACTCAAAGAGGTCGGGTCTGGTAGTTATGGAGCAGTCTATATAAGGCAGCTTGGGAGAGAGAGAAGAGGATATGACATAAACTGTTATACTCAAACATTTGAACTACTTTGATCAGATGCCGGAGTTATTTATTTCTGAAGCTTTGGTATTACTAGTGTGATATTTAGTTTTACTTTGTATTTAGTATTAACAGTTCAGAAATCATACTAAATATACAAGGGATGTTTTCCTTCCTGTTTATGGAACCACACAAGAAAGAGTACATGATTGTTATGCAGTATGCTAATAATGGTAGTTTTTGTCTTACTTGAATCAAATATTAACAAATTGACATGGAGAATGAAATTACATCATTCATTACATTTTCTCTGCGCAATATTCATAAAAGAGTGTATTGTGATCTTTATGGCGGCAACCGTTAATCTGCAACTCACGACCAGTCAATTATACTAGTACGTGTTGTGTAACTATAATTAAACATTGTCACAGGACTTTGCATGATATAAAGTTGTACACGAATTATTTTAAAAGGCCGCCCCTTTCGAATATTCGCGCATGTGTTGTTGTCGTCCACACCATTTTTGTTGTAATTCCTCCTTCTCTTTCTTTGCTTCTCGACTCTATGTTTAGTCCGCGTATTATTTTGAGGCAAAAATTTCAATAGTGTATGTGTTTAGTCGGTACAACTGATACAATGGTGCAGTTGCTAATTAACTAATTTTATTTTTCATAAAGTGCACTAGTACGATAGTATCAATAATTATAGTAGCTTTACTTGGCAATAATAATTGACGGCTGTGTCTGGAACGAGCTTCTTTATACAAGATGCTTCCATTCTGCAAAAATTCATTTATCATCGTACGTTTTAAATATTGTGCAGAGAATACCCTTTCATATACGGTGAGTAACCCAATATGTAATGTAATTATAATACACTAATACTAAGAGCAAAACTAAGACGCAAATTTGACCTATGCATCATGAAAATACTTTCACTACGAGCAAGCAATAATGGACAACAAATTTACATCTGAGTACAGCAAAGCCACCAACAATTGATACGGTAATTACAATCGTCAAAGTTAAGCAGCAAAAAATTATTCAATTGCTAAACAAGCAGCTTGAAAAACAAAAGTTCCATGTGGAACGATTGGAGATTAATTGGATAATTCTTAGGTACAATACAGTAATAATTCAGATTTCAAGCTTGATTAAAAATTACATAACTTAAAAAGGAAAGACTAGAACAATCAGCCAAACTAACTTTAATTAATTTGAGAATCAATTGTTAATATAAACACTTGATATAATCAAGTAGCTTTGGGGGACTGGAAGTCAATTGCAAAGATTGTGTAGAAATTCCAACGGACAACGTTCGTACGTTCAAATTGACATTATCATACGATGTTTCCCGTCCGTGTAACCGGATCAAGAATTACATGTGGATGCTGTGTGGATTGGTGGTCTGCACGTCGAGATACACAAGTGGTACCATCAAAGAATCATTCGTTCCCAAAAAAGAAATGCATTGATATATTTGGCATCTGCAATAAAATGATGGATGCACAGCTGCAGATAATCGCTGAGAAGCTTATCATTGTTCAGAACCGATGAAAATACCAATCCTGTAAAAATTAGCGTTCGTTGAAATCCCAACCAAAAAACCATTCTAATCTCAGCAATTGAACCGGATTTTACCATACGTCTCTTACCGTTACGCTACATTCTGCTAGTTATATGATATGGATTCACGATTCAAAATGGACCTTTTTTTGACATAAAACTTTACGGCAGGGATTGTTTGCTTTGCAGAAACTAAATTTGGACCGGATAAACATTCTAGTAACGTTGGAATCGCAGTTGATTTGTTCGGTGGACAACAATGTCTAGTTTCATCAACCATTATTTATATTTGCATTATCTTTGGTTCACAATATAGCATCAATTATCAACAAACACCGCTTTTATACATGTTCCTTTGATTTACCCATTTGCCTTTACCTATTACCATCCGCCTGATCATAGTTATTTATTACTACCATGTTTGGCTGACTGATTACACAATTACCCGACTAGACAAAGAAAAGTAACTCGTTTTAGCCATTGTACAAGTCCAGTCTCCTGAGAAGCAGTTGTACATGTCGCCAAGAAATGACGACAATGAAGCTAATCTTGTTTGATCCGCAGATACTATTTAAAACGTGCTTGACAACATTTGTTTGTGGTCGGTATTTGTTGTCATTACTATTACATAATTAATTGCACATCCCGATTATTTAAAGCCCGCAAATATCCGCACGAGTTGATTACCCATTTTCGACATTTGTAAACTTTAAATCTCCCTCTATACAACAATCTCATTCTTTTCAATTCCTCTTGTTGGGAGCATTACAATACATTCCTTCCTTGCCATGCTCAGAAGCAGGAAAAGTCTAACAGAAGATTTATACCTGTTTCAAATAAAGTGTATATAGTTGAAGGAAAAATAAAAACCCCCGTCATTAGTCAGATTCTCCTTCGGTCTCCTCCGTTCGTAGGGGTAAATAGGAAACAAACAAATTACCATAGACAAGGCTCGGCCGCTCTTTTATTTTTTCTTTACCATTTGTTTGTTTGCTCCCATGCCAAACGTAACTGTCGATGGAAAAGTAGTCAATATATGCCGGTAAGTTGGCGTAAACGTCGTGGCATCAGTATTATCCTAATCAAAGAATTTTAACACCTCGTGTTTACTTGTAGTTGGGACTTGTCATTTCAAGATTGCGTGGACAAGCCTTTCTACATAACAAATGTCGAAATTAGCATGATTCTTACGTCCGCCCTTATTATAATCGTGTTTTCTTTTCTCGTGTACCGTCGCCAGGTGTTAAAAACTCCTCTGTGGAGTGGTAAACAGTTTGCACCACTAGATGGCCTATTATTTTGGATATTAATATGGGCTATTTTGAGAATCGCAGCTTCGATTATTAAGCTAAATGATCTATGGCCAACTAGTATTTGGAGATATGTATTTTTCAATGTTGGCTGGTGGATTGCTAATATTGCCGTTGCTACTTATACTTGCGGACTGTAAGTAAGATGCGTAAATGTTTTCTTTGGTTATTGTGCGATTTGCACGATTAAAATAATTTTTATTATCTCCTTTTGTACAGATTTTATGCAATTCCTCGAATGCAATCCCACAGATTTTCCAGCATTTATACCTCCACACGCACCCTTTATATTCCCAATCCTGCCATAGTTCCATACCTTTACTGGTCACTCTTTGCCCTAAACATAATATTCTTCGAGACATTTGCTATCCTGGCTATCAAGGCCAGGTTTTCTAAACGTTCAGATCTCGAGCTAATTTTCTGGAGAATACATTGGACGGGCATCATAGTGGAACAGTTAATACTGATGTCTCTGTTGTTATATTATGGAAGAATGCTTGTGCATCTTGCGCGTGAATGTGTAATCTTGGCAGCGGCTGAAGACGAAAAAAACAAATACGAGAATTTTGCCAACAAGGTAACAACTAATCACTAGGTGTCAAGATAATATATCATTCAACGTGTAAACTGATCACATGACGTTTTCTAGATGAATTCGGCAAACTTTGGATTTACCATTGCATTTGTTTGGTACATTCTATCACTCACGTGCTTTGTCTTATTCTCAAGAAGAATGTTTACTGACCCGTTGGTAAACAGAATATACGCCGGTGTCATGGAGAATTGTTCTAGTCTTTTAGCGATCGGCATCACATTTTCAATGATTTATTGGTAAGCATATATATACGTGTGTTTGTATATATCTATATCTATCTATATATATATTTCCCACTTTCTGACCAACCATCCTTATCGTTACAGCGAAGTTAAGCAAACGTATTCCTCACTAAGCCAACAAGAACTATCTACTGTATGGACGCTCAATAACCAAGAAGCCTGATTACATGACAAAATGTATATGGTATTTTGTAAATATATATAATATGCATGGGTCAATCCAATCGAAAAAAAAAAGCAAATTTTTATTGTCCCAAAACACATAATTAAACGAACAGAAAAAAAAACAATTAATTATTTCAAGCAGACGGAATAGAATAAGTAATATTGTATTGTCCAAGGTCGAAAATCCAGTTTAAAGTAATAATTACTGAATAAAGACTATACACTGTCATTTCATTGTTACTTTCTTATACAATATTACTACTATATTGCTCCAATGCCTCTCACGGCGTGTACCCAGCCTCTGGACATAATCTGCAATAATGGCGCTTGGCCAAGACTCTCCACGTAGACAATGTCAATGGCAACCCTCTTTCAGCATATCCAGTAACCTGCCTATATGCTTCAATATCCCAACGAACCATATCCTTATCGAATCCACCATGCCTAGTCTGCATGTGAGTTGCGAGCCCGCTATAAGTAAATCGGTTACCATTCCTACAATAATCACACACGAATATAAAATCGTTATCACGATTTTCAGCCAATAGATCATCGACCGTCAACGACTCTACTTCACATTTCTCCATAACTTCGCGGATCAATCTGGGAATGAGACAGAGATCGAGAAATTCAGTAGAATAAAGCGCATACGGGTCGGGTGAGGGAATCGGGGGGTTTATGAATGACGGGAGTATGAAAAGGTACTTTAAAAGCTCGTATTTGTCGATTGCTTGACTCGATAGTTCCGTATCCGACGAGTCCAAATCTTCTTCCTCTTCCTCCGATTCCTCTTCTTCTTCTTCCTCCTCCTCATCCAAGTCTATTAATTCTGTGTCTGTCGTAGACGAACAACATGATGTCTGCTCAATGTCACAAGTCAACGTGGAAGAGAAATTCGTATAATACGGTTTGTAATGCGCTCCTCCCTTTTCATCGGATCCCATCGTGCATTCGCTACCAATGCGATTTTTGAAACGGATGTTTGCGTTCATGTCATCAGCCTCGGCAGCTGCCATCCGATTGGCCGCTTCGAGCAAAAAACTACTAATACCTAATTGAAGTGTCCTTTTTGTCGTTGGCTGGACTGGCTGTTGATCAGTCCGCGTAGGATGGCTTTGATTTGACTGGTTATTTGCATCGAGGTCAAATGTACCAACGATACGCTTACCGCTCGAGTTGTTCATATTCAATTCAGCGTTGGCCATCGTCCCATGTGCGTATGCCTTTTCAAGTATTTCGTCCAACGAGTCCAAGGCAGTGATATACTCTAGTATCTGCTTTTGTCTCTCTATGTTGGATAATTCCTTGTTATGATGAGCCATGCGTCGTTCTTTATCGGCTCGTGCAACCCGCTCGATGCGACGACATTCTTCTAGTGCTTCTTGATACTCGCGGATTAGCTTATTCCTCAGCAACTGCCAAGCTCGTTCGGTAAGTACCCTCACTATGCGCTTGGACTGATGGTAAGATGGACATTGCTCCAGAATCGACATGTCGTAGTATGGTCTACCGTGTTCATCGAGTTCTTGTGTCATTATTGCGACTCTTCGCTCTACTTCTTGGATTCGTTGAAGTTGAATGTCTCTCTTGTCTTTTGCTCGCAAACGCATTTCGTGTGCTTCTTCGTGTTCTCGAGCCTCCGAGTCTTCCATTATTCGTTTCGTGGCAAGCTTACGTTGACACAGCCATCTCTCTCGGCGTGTCCAAGGAAGCGATTCGAATTCTCTCTTTGCTGCTTCTACATCTTCTTTCCAGAAAAAGTTTACAAAAAATTCGGTGCGACTGTATCTACTGTAGAATTGCGATACTTGGTACGGTAATACGCGAAGTAATGCAACAGGTACCCTTAGTTCTTGTTTGGCTCTCAATTCGCTATATGAGAACAAAAAGAATGTGACAGTATTAATATTGATAGTTTCTTAAAGACTAATGAAAATCATAGTTCTCTGAAAAACATAAACATAAACACTAAATACATATGTATGTGTGCGTGTTGTGTGTGTGTCCCCATTAATCATTCTCGACTTCCATTTTTCAACTCACCTTACAGTCCGATCTTCCAAACATGATCGACAACAACGAACTCTAAAGGGCCAATAAACTTTTCTGATCAGGTCTCTTCCACAAAATTGACATCCCCTACCCAGCACCAGCCTCACATAAGATCTCTCGTCCATCCCGTCTGGTGGTGGCAAATGGAGGAATCTTACATGAAGCAATCTGCTCTGTTTCCATATGTTTTGAGTTGTCACTGATTCGGGTGAGCAAAGCCAGTTGTAGAACAGTTTGCAGACTTTTGCTAGTTGCACTAGTTCTGTTGGTGGACAAAACCTATCAATTGAATCGAGACAAATTGCAGATTTAGCGATTGGCTAAAGAGGGGGTTTGTTGATGTTGCTAATGACGAAAGCGTACATAAGCCATGTTTACATATGGCATGTAATGACAACAAGTTTGTAATGACATAACAAGAAGCTTCCAAAGATGAATATATAATATGTATTACCTACAAACATGTATAAAGACCTCAGGTGGCACAGAGGTAAACGGACTGCTCCGAATGACTTCATCCGCAGTTGATCCATCAACATCCATCAGTTTTTTAAATCTTTCGGCAGATTTCCCCATCGCTTTCCTTTTTTTTTCGACGGGAAAGAAAGCCATAATAGTAACGTCTGTCTCGCATTCGACAGGAGTAGGTTTCAGGTTTACGCCAACTGCGCCGTCAGCCTCTCTTTGCCTCTTTGCTCGACTTCGGGTAATCATTTCTGCAAGATGGTTGGATGTATATTTGGATATGCAATATAGAGTGAGGACAATGCCCGCGTGGAAGATGATATGCGTAAAAAAAAATTGATCGGTGTGGGTGCTTAGATGCTGTGTTAACGTCTACTGTTACACACACATAATAATTTACTGCGGAAGCATACATGTCATATGACGTAATCTTTGTATAATAATAATAAGAAATGAGGACGTTTTTTGCCATCTCCGAGGGCAAATGATGAAACAAAGCATTCATAATAGCAAACTCGCCATATATTACGATTTACTCGCGCGAGATAGAGTCATGTATGGTATTATGGTATTCGATGGCATGGTATTCGATGGCATGGTAATCGATGGTATGGTATTCGCATTAAATTCCCGTCATCATCAACGGCTCCCCTTTTTTTTTTCTTCTCACACTGCTTTGACTAATAATTGCATCATCATGTGAAATTGAAACAGACTAATTGACCAGTCACAAATAACCAAATAGCTATAAACTTTTGTAATTGATCTGCTTACTATATAAATACAATGATATACGTGTGTATACACAAATCAAACTAATGATTTATAATAACGTTTGATCCATTTAGTACCGGATCCACCACATGACCGAACGGAGTAAGTATAAGGCCATTAATTTGTTTCTAAAAATAAATAATAACTGCTAATGACACACTATCTGGAATTGCATTCTTTCGGATAATCCTTGAACACGATTTCTATTAGTTATGGTCTTTTGATGGCCGAGTATGAATAACGAGTTGGCGGCTGTTGTGTCCAATCACAACAGAGCGCTTTAAGCATGTCGGCAAAATTGACCATAATTCCGACATATCCTTTTATGTTATGTTATATATGCGGTCATCAACACTCCTCGTTGTTTGTTTTTTTAGACTCGCTTTGGTAGTAAAACCGAAAATGTGTCCTAAACGTGCCTCAAAGAAGATCAAAAGACATCATAGTGGATTGATAGTTGGATTGTTGTACATCTTGTGTTGTTGTTTGCGGGAATATTTCGTGTCTGCTGACAGTCACTCATGTATTACACTGACTCATTGCGACAATAACAAATTTTGTGCGATATCTATTTACTTTGTTGTACATTAAAATCAATTTGCTCATTTAACAAAGAACAATAAAATTAATCCTCCGATTGCACAATGTATTGGCGAAAAAGGCATTGATCTACTACGCAATGTAATGATGTGTAAGAACTAAAGGAGGAACATAAATAACGCTTGCATGCAACTATGACGCATGCAAACGTAAATACTGTCCGTATGTTATTGTGAAGTTATTAACTGTCCAACCAACCAATGCGGATGCAATCTCTTCTTTCTTACAAACTAAATATAGAGAAAGGCATCTACACCAGCTCCGACATTGTCAAAGTCGCAACTGCATTGTCTCTCACTTTCAAGCCAATGCAATGAGTGAATGAACGCAGATTATCTTATCGATTGAGAATTTATTTCACCTTGTTTTCTTATAGTGTAAAGTTGATTGTTTCGTTTGCTCAATTACGTCAAGATAACAAGTTTGCGTTGTTCGGGAATCTCCCCGTCCCCCTCCCCGAACCTTCCCCGCATACAATTGACAAAATAAACCGAATAAAGACTGTGTATGTCTATAAAAATATTTAGTATGGTACGATGCCCCAAATTTATGTGTATCGCCAAGAATATATTGACATTCTATTCTTCGTTTCTTTTAATTCCCTATTGGACGATCACATATACATATTCTAATCAGAATTATTTGTTTTCTAAATATAACTTTATGGTTGTGCCAGTGTTTCACCGAATGATCATAGTCTTAAATCCTTCCCAGTCCATCGGTCAGCTGCGGATGCTTAGTATCAGTGTAACTGAAACGTATTTGTCTTTTATGTGCATAATTTTAATGTACTCTTTTTTTTTTATACTTATGATAGCTGAGAGATGTATAGAGAAGGCTTGTTATATATTTTATTTTACAGCGTGGCACTCGCCTTCTTACAATCAATGTACTAGCTTAATTTTCTATTGCCGTTATTTACACTTCATATATACAAAAGGATTGGAGTTGCTCAATGTCCAGTAAAATGCGGATAAAAAGATGAAACATGAGAGAACAAAGGGGGATAATAAAATAATAAAATAATAACAATGGAATAGAAGAATTGAAATGAATAAATCAAACACCATAAGAAATATGATAATTACAATAACGAACAAGGTCTTATAATGACTAAAGGAAAAGACGTCTCTATGTTTAACTTTTTATCCAATTTTTACCATAGTCCATTCCTCTTGGTATTGTCTTGTCTCTTGATAAATGATATTAAAATGGGTATTAGATTGAATTGTCCTTTCTATTGTTCTATTTTCCGTTATTTTAATTAAATACTTTCAAAATGGTCGTTCTTGCAATTACTTTCCCATTCTTTTTGATTACAATGTCTCGGTTGAGAACATTATTCAAATGCAGCACAGGGAGAGGTACGATTTTAATACCCTTTGACAAGTATGCGAACACATACGGTGTCAAATCAAACATGATATCTTTTGGATTAAAGCATAATTCGAGGAGATCGCTTTTGTTTAATAATGCACCATCGAGTGGAGGTGTCAACACACCAGAGTTGAAGCTATTTTCCATATCTGTTTCCGAACTTTGGAATCTAATAGTCATTCGACGTCTCTTGTAAATAATCGTAGTCTCAGACTGCGCTTTACTTGCTTGTCTTTTACGTGAATTAAGTTGTCGGTATTTCTGTCTGTAGCAAGCATACTCGTTTTCTTCTTCATGGTTATCTTCATAGTTGTAGGCGTCTTCAGGATTGCAACCTTCTTTATGTAATACGTATAAATCATAGATTGCATTGGCATCAGAGAAATCTATATCGATTTTAGCCGACACCGAGATGTTGTCATCATCCGTCGTCAGTTGATAGAATTTAATAGAGCCAGAAAATTCTTCTCCGTCAAAGATTGCTTCTCCTCCAAGAGTGCCTCGCGGAGCATTAGTGCTGAATGGTGCAGTTACAGTTGATCCTGCCGAGAGTAAAAAGAGAAAGAGATCCGCTGGACTAGTTTCCATTTGTGTTGTTTTGTATAGTGAGTAGGAATGACAATGGCGCGAATGTGTATTCGAATAAAGATAAAGGCAGGAAGGTTGTTGCTAGAGACTAAAACAATCAGTACAACGATTGGAGTTTTATTGATCTGTTATATGAGTTTGAGGTAAGTGCGAGGGGTTGAGTAAAGGTTTATAGCCAGTCGTTAAACTGCTATGTGATTTAGTTCTCGCTGTCAAATTGCATTAGAAAATCTTCCATGCTCATGCTTTTATAATTTTCAATTTCACGTTGACGATAATATACCTTGGCTTGTGTCACTTCACTGTGGCTAACCGGATTCAATATTTTACCGATCCCATTTAGATGTGGCTAGTTCGTCTTGTGCGACTAGCATAATTCTGCATCATGAACAGTCGTAAATCAACCTTTAAGTTTTGGTTGTTTTACCTTTAAGGAGCGAAGATCAAGTTACTATATCCGAAGCGTTCGAATAATAATAGTAAATAGAATGAACGAGAATATGCCCACGCTGTGACATGCAATTTAGTAAATAGACCCAAATTAATGCGATGACTGTTCCGTTCTCGATATCATATGCCAATTCATTTAATGCCATGTCTGCTGATAATATGCAAAAAGCAAATAAATATGTAAACCATTTCTTATAAACAATATAACTACAAATATTGAATACAAGGTCCAATGACAATGCATTAACTTATCAGATTGGAAATGAATATTTAATTCGATATTGCACCAATTTCTGGATTTGTGCAATGCATTTATTTATTTTATCTCTTACTTCACATTATCTTATATTTAATGCCATCTTATCAGTAGCTTTCGATTAATGTTTACTTCCAATTCGACCGCAGTAGTAAATCGTTGCTGCAGTGTCACCCGAAATAAGCAGAATTAGTCACATTTGTATCCATCTCTTTTACACCCCCGACTACCCTACGTCAACTGTTGTGCATGGGAGTGCCACAAAAAGCCGCTTTTGTAGACATTATCCGGGTATACTCAAAGTGTGGCGTTCAACGGTTGAATTATGCCATAATGGGAGAGTTGCATAGAATAAATATATAGTAAGTGGCTGGTGAGGCTAATGATTAATACATTGAAACAGTCGATTATCGGGCATTAAACCCATCCGACAATGTCACCTCCATTGTCTTAGGCAGCGGGTCAACCTTCCTCTTCCCCGGCGTTGTCACCCGCCTAATAATAGACATGAACGCTAACGAGCTTTCAATATTGCATGCATCAACATCAAAACTATGCATTGCGGATAAAATTTTCAATTTTCCGGGGGGACAATCAATAATTAAATAAACAAAAAAGTTGGAATTAATTCTGGGCGCATACGTAACATATGATGTACGCTATAATTACTACTGCTGCGTATTCGATAATTTACCTGGCAATACTATACCCAATGTCTAATGTCCAAGTGTCGATGACTTTGAATTGTCCTTGTGACCGTAGAGTAAATATGACTAACTATTGATGAACGTCAACTCGAGGAAGATTTAGGGACGCACAAACCAATCTGTAATAGAAATTGGATAAAGAACAAGTACACATTACACAATATTGATAAGCAGAAATGATAAAGTAACGACCCAACGACCCAAAAAAACCAACAAAAACAACGACTATATCTACAGACAATACTGTTCATAAATGCAGTAACCCAATTTATCAGACTTGGCTAGTAACCCACAGCTGTTTGGTTCATTATCTTGACATTTAACCAAATCGGTCGAAACAATCGACAGTAATTATAGCAAATCTCGAATTTTTTCCATTTCTCCCCTTCCCTTCCATCGCATATCCCACATGCTCAGGTGTGGCAGTCACAAAAATGTCCATCAAAGACTTCTGCGAACCCCCATTTAAGATGAACAACAACATTCGCAATACATTCAATACAGTCAACTTCATCTATCAACTGTTTTTTCCTTCTCTTGACCACAGTCCATTATCCATTCTTCCCTCTTTGTTGCCCTTGTTATCTTTACCATTTTGAACTGATGCATATTGAACATGAGAATATTCACATGGTCTGTATAACGCCTTTTAATGATCCCTGATTTATTTGGTTTTTAAAGTTTATCATTTATTTGGTTTTGTCATATCACATATGGTCACAATCAATCTATACAACATGATACATGCTTCTTGCGTTCCCCCCATCCACTAAATCACGTAATTGCTATGAAAAGAATGTGCGCATGTTGATGGAAACATCCACGGAGGCTAACAAGGATGAATAAGTCAGAACAAAGCAAAAGGGGAAAGAACGACTAGAATGTTTATCGAGCTTAATGACAATACGAAAGGAACAAGTGGCAAACATTTTAAGCAAATAATGAAATGTTACACTCGATTATTAAACTATGCCTTGGCAGAAGGCGTACCCGGATTACGACCCGATGGCAACTAAATTCTACGAATTCGTATTAGGCAAGTGGGCTAAGCCGCGAATGAAACGTTGCGGAATATTCTTTCATGCTGATGGCAGGCAGCAACTGGCTATCGAACAATGTCCAAGATTGCGGTCTAGTTTAATATCCAATGATCAATAATGGCAGTATATCATTTATTTTATTATTAATATTAATTGCCATCTAGACCGTAATCATACTGAACTCATTTACGGGTCGTATAATCTATAGACAGTTAGTCGCTTCCCATTATTACCGCTAATAAAGATATTAAAAGCAGCTGCCAAGCATCAAGAAAGTTTTTTTATTTTCACGATGGGCTGCTTCTTGTCGTTCAAAGTAATTAATTCAGTTGTAAAGTCGTATATAGTGTTTTAAAGAATGGCCTAATTCTTATTTTCCAACTTCTAAATTGTTGTTTTGCTAAAAAAGATGAGAGCTATGTTATACTATGAGTTTGCCAGCAGTTAAGACATGATTTGAACCGCAGACCGGAATGGGCTTTTGTTTGAATAAAGGTTTTAACAAAAAGGCAAATAATTTATGAGTCTGGGTTGCTTATTATTATGGGCTTCTGCTTGAAACAAGACCATATAATCTTCTTTGAATAAGAAAGCAAATAGTTTAGCTAACTAATATCTTACGAGTCTGGGTGTGCTGGTTTTTGTTAACCGCTACCACAACACTGAATTATTTTTTTTCATTGTTTTTCGTATAACCCGTCGTCTACCAGCATACTTACACCGGTTGACCTCAATTCAGTCTTGAGAGAATGGACCGGCACTCCTTCTAGAAAACAAGCAATTGCGATACAGCATCCTGTAAGGCAGAGTATAGTAGGACGAATTCACAAGACGAGTCTTTTAGTCAGTTACAGAGATGATATCTCGATAATTGCACTGCACAACAGACTCTCGGCATTTTGGGATCCGTGGAACTAAAGACAACCCAGATGAACTCATTTATTAGACATTTATAATTATGCTGTACATCACATTGTCTGCACGTTGGCATATATTCTATTCTTTTCTTCTTTTTATTCAATACTATACACATCCTTTGGTGGGGTTGTGGGTTTTTGTAGACTCATTCGTTTATCGTCCGCACATTGAAACGATCTCTAACGTTGCATACACACGTAAAGATTGCAAATATCAAAGACGTATGTACAGTGAAACCTCCATAAATGCAACCCCCCATAAATGCAACCTCACGAGTGCTCCCTTATCTGCCACCCGTTTTCTGCAAATCGCACAACGGATTTGCTTGTAAGCAGTAGCACTTACTGAATTGGAAACAAATATTATCTTTTTCAGGGGAGCTTAAGTGACGATATTATTTGTTGGCGATGGTAATGAAACTCCAATAGCGAGGCATTAAAAACATAATAACAAGAAAGCTGTTAATACAGTAATTCATTCGTGTAACACAATCAGGGATATTGTAATATTGTACGTAATTTGGAATTAATAAGTGCAGTGCAAATATGCCTTTGATTGAAGCAATTGGCAGTGAGAGTCAATAATGGTGAAATATGGCAATTAGTATAATATTAAAAATGATATGTATTACGAGCGACACGACTTTTGATATTTCTGCGTCGATGCTTTGGCCTTGTTTAAAGGAAGGTAATTGGTAACCTTAAAGACAAATTTATAAATATCATACAACTGTCGATTACTATTACAAACGTGTGCAACAAACAACAAACAAAGTACTCCATGTATGTCGCAAACAGGTCTTTTAACCAGTAATAGAAATTTGTTAAATATTATGTAGTTACAAATACAAACATTGTGTATCATAATTTCACACTCCAAGGAGACATTGATCTAGCGAGGGTAAATAGTAACAAATGGCCACTAGAATTTTTGAGCGAACGAGTTGGTCTGCATTTATTGTTCTATAATTTTATCTATAACTAACTTACTGAAATGTACCATCAACTTAATAAACAAGTACATTACATTTACATTACATTACATTACATTACAACTAACAACAATGTTCAACGTGGTCCTAACCACTCTGAAGTTATATCCTCTTCAGCTATGATGATTCCATCTCTCTTGACAGTTAACAGCATTCCAACAACGCTATCTTCCCCTGAACAAATACCCAAGTCTTTCATCGCATCTCCAACTATAAATTGTTTCGATAAAACTATCTGTCCATTTGATCTTTCACTCTGTCCATCAGGATTATTGTTTATTGTAAAATGTCCGACGTTGTGTATAGCTCTTTCCACTTCATCCGCAACTTCTATTTCGTATTCGACGTTACTCTTGTCTTTATGTAAACCGCCAAAGAATTGCAATTGAACCTCAAGTTTCCCAGATGTCTTTTCATAGAAAATAATCGTCCCAGATATGTTATGTCCGGCGTTGTGGTCTTCGAAATCAGCTTTTGCTATAACATTGCATGCGACAGGGTCGTCTGCTTTAAATGTAAATGACGACCAGAGCGTGGGGAGAAGAACAAAAACGAAAAGTAGGGAAACGCCCAACAGACTAGCGTTTAAGAACATGGTCTCTTTTATGTGGAAGAAATGTTGGTATATGATATATATGTATATATGATTATATATGTTATATAGAATATATATTACAAGACGAGTCGTCGAAAGAGCAAATGCGTATGTATCGAGAGACAATTGTCGTCGTCAAGCACACTGGAAAAAATAGTGCGGGTATTTATTGTGCTTGCTCTCTTAACACAAGAGAATGACTGTCGATTAAGTTCAGCAAATATCTCAACCTTCCAGCAAACTATCATTTTGTCTATGACAGTTGTACATAATGTCATTGATGCATTTGGTAAGTTGATTGAAAATAGGAATTCCGAATCGGGATTTGTTCGTTTGACGGAATAGATTACCCCTGCCCGCGGAGTTTTATCGTGTCATTGTGCAGCCGTAAATAACATAAGGATCTTTATTTATACTGACCAATGCATGTTAAATATGTTTACCGTGAGAATAGTACTAATTTATTTATGTGTCCAAATCCGCATTACTTAATCATCGATATCAGTATTCTACTGCCACTATTTTTTAATCTACTGCCCACCCATCCTATTCTTCTTTTTACTTTCCCATACGCTTCTTAGTGTCTCTCTCACTGTTTCCAAGCTCTCCTCCCAGCACCCTTCAGCACATCCAACGATCGTATCAATATCGTTCTCACTAAACACAAAATTACTAGTTGCGCAGATCTTGTCGTTGATAGGATCAAACTCGGGATATTTCTTGCACGGTAGATTGGGCATATACACGAGTCTTACGTCTCTTCCCTGAATGACACTCTCACCACGCTCATCCACAGGTTCACATTGATACACTTGGACGTAAGCATCCTTAAATGTTTCATGTATGGCATCGGGTTTACCTCGCAATTCGGGCGTAAGAGTCTGAGGAATAGACGGGCGAGTCGGAGGTGATTGAAGAGTAAAGCGGATGCCCCGCCGTGAAAGAAATTGATTGGCCATACGATCGAAAAAGTCATTGTGCATCGTCTCTTTGCTCCCGTCAACGGTGAGTATTACGTCTACATTGCGATTGGCGCGAGTTAGGACGTACCATGGATGGTTATTATCCATTCCTACGAAGAAGAAAAAAAGATGAAAAGGAATTATTACAAAGAATTATTAAATTACTAGCAAGAAATGACTATACAATTCAACGGATCAGTGTAGGTAATACACATACGTCACACGCGCGCTCCCCCTCCACGCACACACACTCAACCTACCAGCGTCAAGCAGGCGAAGATAATCTGCCGTTAGGATACCGGGCTCATATGGTGGATCACGTAGGAGATGGAATGGATTAGGATCACGGCCAGTGTGAATAGGATGATGACTTTCGAGCTCGTCAATTCTATGTGAGCCTAAACGTTCACCTATCTGTGATGTAGAGAAAACGTGAATGAGAAAATGTAGCGTGGATGTTTAAAAATTAACGATATGAATATAAGTATTGTAGAAGAAAGCGTTTTACATTTGTAGAGGCTTGACGTATTTCTTTTCCTATAGGAACAAGGTATGAACAGTCAGTATGCGCCAACAATGGATCGTAACATTACCAGCCCATTATAAGTGATTCCCTCCAGATGTATTCCAATATTATTTCATCTCTACACATTTCTCTACAACATTTTACTGTCTACCATTTCCCATCTCGCATCTCATCCAACTCACCAAGCCAGTTTGCCGGTAATTCACGATCTGCCAAGTGGACGTATCTTTGTGTGGGAGCACTCTGAGCATTGGTCATATAGCCCAATTCCAGACCAAAATTTTGTTCAGGGACTTTATCAATACTTTGACCTTTGTCAAAGCTACGCCCAAACGCCCAGGAAGGAATATATGCTATGGAATAAAGTAGGATAGCTTAGTATAAGGATAGGCAATCAATTGAAAGAAGTCCGAGTAACAGTATTATCCGAAAATATCCATACCTGCGATTTCATCGTTGCCTATTTCAAATGGAGTAAATTCAACCCATTGAAACCAAGATTTCTTGTTACCGTGTTCTTTATCATCAAACTCGTCAAGATCTTCATCGATACCATTATCAATCTATAAGGATAAGTAAGGCAATTGATGAGGGTAAATCACTGAACTAAGTCGTACATGGAATGCTGAGCCACAAGTTTATTGTGATACCTCTTGTGCTTCTTGGACATCTTTCCATGGTCGTTCATGACGAACTCTGTTGTAAAACGACAGCAGACATTTATTAACCAAGACCAATGTCGTATTAAATAAATGACTCACTCTCATTCTTACGCGACATAAATCGGCATGGGATGTTCCCCGGTTTCGACCAATTTCTTTTGTAACGACAACTTGAAATCTTTGGGATCCAGCTTCTCATCCTTCCTAAAGAAATATGCCCCTAACACAGCTCCATAGATATCAGTCGTATTGGTCGGACAGTTTCTCAGTCTTTTTCGTTCGACAGCGCCAAATGTCAACTCAAGTCCATTTTCCAATTTGGCAAGATTTAGAATGAATGAAGGGGAGAATGGATGAATGGTATAAGCACTTTTGAATTGCTCAATGGTAGAATCAACGGAGCCGGACGATACGGTATAGTAAGTTGCTATACCCCAACAAGCTCCAGAAACACCTTGTTATCGTGAGGCAGTTAAAAACAAATATTGGAATGGGCGTTGTGCGAATTGATAAAAAAAGAATGCAAAAGTTTGATTTGCAATTACCGGTAAAGTACGTTACGCAGTCCCATAAACCTGCCTTCTTCATTCCGCGGACATAGCCTGTTGAGAGACAAAAGTGGTAAATATTCAGAATCAATGTGCATGGATGAATACGTATAATGATTTGAGTTCTTACCAAAGGTATCGATATTAGATCTCATACCACCGCCGCTGTAATAACAATGATAATTTATATTAATACATTACAGTTCCAAAACTCGAGCTAACTTGGATTGGGCAAAATCCTTCTGAATTCTTGCTATCGTTTTCAAGCTCATTGCCTATGTAAAACTTTCTTCACCCTTTCTCGAACAATCTCACCTTCCAGTAACAGCAATCACGGGAATGTCATCTTCATGCACCTCACTCGGATCAACGCCGATAAATTTCGCAAAACTTTCCCTTGCTTTTCTCTTTCTAATTTCCACAAACTTTATCTCCTCTTCACTCAACTCATTTCCTTGTCTAACGTATGCAACCCTTTCTAGCTCGGGATTGGCTTCTTTGTTCACCAAATCGCAGGCGACACTCTTTTTCAGTTCTTTAGCATCATTAAACAAGGTGATGTTCTTTACAAGCTTGGGCTGGGAGTCGAATTTGTGTTTGAATGTGTCCCATCCTTCCTGCAAGTATTCTGTAATGCGAGCGTATGTTGTAGTAGTTGTAGTAGTAGTTGTTGTCGTCGTCGTTGTCGGTGTTGAGGCAGGAGTCGTGCCAGTTGCATTCTCTACAATCTTTCCTTGTGCATCATCTTGGGTGGTCATTTCGATACAAGTGTGATCAAAAGTTAGAAATTACAGTACTTTAATACTGCCAAGAAATTCTTATGCAGAATGCAGATCATAGGAGTATTGCAATTGTTTATACCGCTTAGACTACCTACAATAAAAGCAGAGTGACCTTTATTACCAGGCCAGACAAAGATATTCCACTGTTGGGGAAACATAAAATATTTAAGGTTTAATATTTCTGTGGTATACTAATACAGACTGATAGTACAAGTATAAGTAAAGATGTTAGTTTAGTATTAGGTTAACGCCACCCCAAAAGATGATACACAAGCCAGCCGAATTCGTACGTCAAACGTTATACCGTTACATAGTCTGTAAAGAATGAATCACTGTAAGGATTTGTATTCTCCCAAAACATTACAGCTTCCGGGATGATGCAAACGGAACGAAAAGGCAGCAAACGTTAATAAAACTACAGTTATTCCAATTATAATAACATAGATAAATAAAGAACGCAAAACTCTAATTATAATAACATAGTGGTATAATACTAGCACCGTGCAAGGGTTTAATATAGCCAGCGTGCATTTAATAAGAATTTGTACAACGCAACGAAAAGTATATCATTAAAAATATTAATTTATAGTTTTTTCATTAACAAATCTTTAAGAATCTTATCTGTTCACATGTGTCTTCTTAAATTAAGCATATATTTTAATGACCAATAATAGTGATCTCGGTACTGTCATCCATTTCCCTCATCGATGTCTTCTTTAAACATCTCCGCGATTTCCACTAGCGCATCAGATATTACTACGAAAGAATGATAATGGTTACGATTAGAGATATAAATAGCTTGCTAAGACAATTCACTGAACAACGACAATATTAATAACGATTAGAGATATAAAATTTTAGGGGATCGTCCAATTTTGGGGTTCATGGAGATTTGCGTTCTTTTATTGTCTACACCTACGATTGAACGCTAAAGGTGTACCAGGGGATTCAATCATGGCACGTATAACATGTGTCATGTAATAGTAACACAAAAATGTTCTCAAAAGTTTATAATCCAGCAATGGGTAACTTTTGTAAAACAAATCTTATACACCTAACTGGATTCCTTGCTCACAGATTATCGAGCCAACTCGAATTAACAAAGCCTGCTACGCTATTCACAAGCAAACGCAGGGTAATGGTAATAATAATGTTGTTGCTATTTCTTGGAAACAGCGAAGAATGTGCACCAACACTTGTGAGTGAGTTTGTCAGAAAATACTCGCTTCCAACACACAGGCACAATAATGATATCAATTTAGACGATATAAGACCGTCGCAACTACTTGATAAAGGGATTTGCCGAGTATAGCAGTAGCTATTACATGGTTGCTAAGACACGCTTTTACTGTTGCTATTCTCGATATGGATTCTGCTCCGTATGTGGCATCTTCCGATGTAGTCCTGTGTGGTGCAATTTGCAGACATAAACAATTATCCAATAATAATAAGCAACTCGATGAGTTTATACTCACCAAATGATGCCTACTTAGAATGGATTCCATTGATGTTAGGGCATATGGATTTGGACACTTGTATGGTCTACCTATTCTTACCATCGGATTTACATACGATAAAAGTATTGTCTAATAAAATATGTCTGGCATGTATACGTCGATTAGAACCTAAGATAAATGTATTCTGTTATGGATGTAAATCCCCAACATCTCCTGATCATGCTCAAGTCTTTGGATTTATTCATTATGGAGTCATGGAGTAATGTGAAGAATAAGGATGATGCCTATATACAATGGACAGAATATTCTCGATTACGATTGACGAACATACAAGAAATGACATCATTACGACATATAGCGGATTGGTTAGATCCGAGAACAAATAAACTGACAATCGTGGCACTCAAGCAAGATAGTAATAGTTACTTGATTTTCATCAGGTAAGGATTAAATAATGCAAGTAGTATCAAGGATGCGTCGCGTATTAATTGATGATTGTGTTGTTTACTCAAATAGCTAACTCGGGAATACCCGAAGATATTGACTCCCGAGAATACCTTGATAATTGAAATCGCCCAAGAGCCATCCACTCAAGCATACTATTTAGTTTCTACCATTGTTGAAATTCACTTTACGATCTCGCAGAATTGCTTATTTCGAAAGTTATGTGACTTTGTCGATATACTGTAAATATCAAATAAAAATATTGATTTACAGTGACACCTCTATAAATGCAACCCCTATAAGTGCAATCCCCGGTCCCAAGCATGGATATTTGTGGTCCCGTCCTAATACTAATGGCTCTAACTGCAACTCACGTGATTACCGTAATGTTATTTGTTGCGGAAAAATGATCATCACAATGTAGCAGTAGTACAAAATCTGTTTCGATATAGTAATAGTAATCAAATTTCAAACATCACAATTCGCGCGCACAACATTATTTGTTATAGATCCAGTTTTATGTGTGAGAAAGAATTCTTTGTAAAGCATTGCTATTTTCTTTTTTCAGTGTTTGAGTTTGATTCCGCTTTGAAACAGCAGATTGATTATATTGTTACTAGCGGAAGATATCGTTTATTTTGAGCTTCCTGAAAGTGACGATGAAGAAACTGACGATGATAGTAATGAAACCCCAATAGTGAGTGCTCGTGAGGCACTAAAAAGTTTAGGAAACGTAAAGACATTTCTAATTTAACAAGAGGAAGCCGGTAGATATTTAAAGGCTGTTAATAGTTTGGAGAAATTCATTCGCGAAAAAAAGCGTAAATTCGACGAAACAAAGTAGCATAACACAATTCTTGGTTAACAATTAGGGATATTTATAATCAACCTTTTACGTAAAGTTAGCTGGAAAGTTTTAATAAAGTAAATCGTTAAAATGTCTTTCCTAAACTATTAATAGCTTCTGGAGCGCGCCATCCAAGTCTTAGCATTCTAGTAATACCAAACCGGAAGGCTAGACTTTTAGACAGCGAGGCGTTTGACTTCGATGAATATATAATAACGGTCTCCGGTTGCATTACATGTGACCACAATCGAAACGCGTCTTTAAGTTGTTTCGTTTCGTTCCCGAGATTGGTGCATGAGCTAGAGCATGATTGGTTCGACTTTCCAAAAACGAACTGTTTGTCACAGCTGTCTATGTCGCTTAGGTTGTTGTGAAAAATTTACTTGAAGTTCTTTATTTTGTAAATATTACCATTAAAAGTAATTCCATCTTGAGGAAAATAACTTTTACGTTCTTGTTTTCGAATTCTGTCATCCTCAAATGCCAACCATCTGTCTTTTGTTTTCAAGATTCCACTAACAGTAGATTCTCCAATGCCATACTCGAATTCGTTATTTCAATATTTTTTAAACGCGGATAACTTTTTGACACTCTTCCTTTTCTTGAGCAATTGTAAGCGTTGTAAGTGTTCGTGGTTTTTCTGACATGACGTTTCATTATCTTGAGAACGTTTTGGAAGTTGATTCCAGCATCTTTGATCTTACTTGATAGGGAGCAAGTGTATTATAAAAGAACAAACAAAAGAAATGCTTTACAGTTTTTATTGATTCTATTGTATAGTGAACTTTGTTATACAAATAAATTTGCCAAGTGAATGGGTTTATAATACATGGTCTATGAAAACTTCGTTCAACGTTATACGTTTATCTTGTTAAGAGCGAACTGGTCGTTATAAGCCATCTTCGTTCAAGTGAGATTTCATTAAAGTGAATTTCACTGTGTTACGGATGTGTACAGTGACATTATTATTGCTATTAGGTTTAGTATGCTTTGAAAGAGTTACGTTTTTAATTCATAAATTTAATGAACAAAGTACAAGTAACATCGTTCTTAGTTATAAACGAGCTTGGCATAAAATCTTTATATTAAAGACATTTATTTGTAACAGAATGCTGCAATTATTTCTTCATTAACTTTAGACCATATTCAGTCAAAGTGCTTGGCTCGCCCCCAATGAATTACTTCGAGGGGCATTCCCAACCGTTAAGGTTTCATTATTGTTTTTTTTAATTATATCTGATATTATATTTGATAATCGTATTTTCGTGTGGTTGGCCAATTTTTTTTTTGTAATACTGTATTATTATTATTATTATTATTATTATTATTATTGTAGATCAGATCTGAGTGAGGAATTTACCTGCCAGGTCGCACAACCCGACACGTCGTACAGTCCATAATATTTCTATTTATGGAAGAGAAGTTATCTGAATGTCCAATGAAAGGATAGTATTTGAGCCTGCAGACCTGGCAGGTTGTGCGACATGGCAGGTATGAGCGAGTATCACTTGTGTCAATTCATTTAATATTAATATGTGTGCATCCATCGCATGGTATAATGGGCACTTTTGACCATGATTTTCTCTTCGTTATTACTAAAGCTAATCTCACCTGAAGTATTCGTACTGTGCCTTGGTGCATTCATTGCCGTGTTCGTTTATTGGAGTCGTCGTCCGAAGCTTGTGAGTAAAATTGGCGTATACATGCTAATATCTTTCGGCGATGCAACTACTTTACTTGACTTTCAATCGAATAGAATGAGCCTCCTTTAGTACCTTACAAGTATCCGTTAATAGGCCATACTCTTGAGTACCTGCGAGACTCCGAAGGCCTTCTGAAAAGATGTCACGAGCAGGTATTTTAGCTACGATAAGGGTCATGTTATTCTCGTTTAATACATGGTATTCTGACTCCATTGATTTTTTAGTATGGAGACATGTTTTCATTGTACTTATTTCGTGAAGTGTATACTATCGCGAGCAATGACTTAGCATACGAGATGTTTAGATCAACTAATTTCAGCTTCAAGGAGGGGCTTGAGCGGGTAAGTTGCTTGAACTGCTGTCTTTTTTGCTCCGCCACCATCACCATCGTTGTCATAATAATTGACTATGTTTATGTTTGTCAGATGTTCCCGCTTGGTGACATTATCGGATCAAAAGCATACCCTGGAAATGCAGCCGTGTTACTCAAGGATAGGTTTTACAAGCATGTTGACGATTGTTATTCGCGTATCTATCGTGAATTACAACATAATATCGATCAGTTAATTGGTGACTGCGAGGAACCCAAGTTGATTAACAACTTTGACGAAATTTCAATGACCATTATCGCACGGGCAATGGCAAATCTCTTCGTTGGCGAAGTAGGGATATTATATTTGTCATGAAGTGCGTGACACGTAGTGTCAGATTAAATCGCATATTGATACCTTTTTGTCTTTTAGGAACTGTGCAAGGATGACGAGATCGTAAAAGTGTTTGCGACGTTTGCTACTACTCTAATACGAGTCAGAAAACTTTCTTCAATCGCGTATCTCATTCATCCTCGTCTCCAAACGGAATACATCAAGTACGTGATGCAATAATTCGTTGGTGTTAAATATAGAGTCTCGAGATTTCTGACTGGTATTTGTCCAATCGATTGAATTAATTAATATCATATCCATGCACACTTTATTCAGATTAGTCTTTAAATATGGAGACAATTCACCGCAAAAGCATAAGGACCTTTTGACAAAGAAGTTAAAGCCTATTTTCGAGAAACGTTATCAGGACATGCAACAGTTTGGAAATGAATGGAAGCGTCCCGTAAGTCAGCCAATTGACAAAATCGGGTTTCCCCTGTTATCAATGTCCATTAATTGTATGACCGTACATTTTCACAGGATGATCTAATTCAACTCCTCTTGGAATATTCCATTGACATGTTTGGTAAAATTCACTACGACTGTATAGCATGTCGTATGCTAACGCTTATATGGGCTTCGATCCATACTACTAGCGCAAATCTTTTAAACACGCTCAATGGTATGTTAATCACGAGATAAATACGAGAAAACTACAGAAAAGATGTTGAACACGTGATATGGTTTGTCAATTAGATTATGCGGGAAGGTCTGAGTACTGGAATGATCTGAGAAAAGAACAAGAGGTCATAACAGACGGTCTTGATTTCGACTTGACTATGGACCGAATGGAGAAATTGGATAGTTTTGTCAAAGAATCTAATCGTCTGATGGGGCATATCTGTAAGTACGACTCGTTGATAGCAATAGACGCCGGATGTTATTTGTTACATTTTCAATTCTACTCCAAATGCTCTCAATTATTGGTTTATCGCATCCAGTAATGCTCCCTCATTGTGCAACGTGTCCGTCTTTTACGTTCAGTAACGGGTATCAAGTTCCCAAAGGTATGTTATTTATCTAGTCTCTATGTATTGTTCAAATAAGTGTTCGATCCCACTATAAATGAACCTTTCTCGATATTAGGTCGCCTGGTATTGATGAACAACCTCACCTACATGTCCAATTCTTCTCTGCACGGTGATAATCCGGAGACGTTTTCTGGATTCCGACACGTCAGCAAGTCTCCATTCGCTAGAGTCGGTAGGGACTCGATGGCTTTTGGGCTAGGAAAACATGCATGTCCGGGTAGATGGTTAGCTAGTAGGAACATCAAGATGGCAATGTCAATACTTATTAGAAAGTATGAGATTAGCACTCTTGACGGAAAACGCCCGAAGTACCCTATAAAACGCGGGATTAGTGTTCTAGGTCCTCTGCCTCTAACTTTTAAGAAGAGGAAGTAGAATGACTATGGTTGTGTGGACAATCATTGGTCAATGGCATTAATTCTACCACTTTGTGACAATATTAATATTAATGTATAGATATTCTTAATTATCTCGACAGGTGCTTTTAACTTAAATAAAGATTTATTTACAGATTATGCTGTAAAAAGGGCGCCTCGTTCTTCGACATATAAACCATTTCCTTACCATCACTGACTGACAAACGCGATATTCATCACACCTGATGCTATCATATTCTCATCCTTGAGTTTAACCTGAAGGATTGCCGTTATACAACTCGCTATTGTTCGAGTTTTAAAACGATGAAATGCACTGGGCTTCTGAACAAGTTGAGTGAATCTTGGTAATAATTTTGCATCAATCACACTTCTCTTCTACGTGCAGTCCTCTATACGAACATCCGCCAAATTGCAAAAGACACCATTCAGTCATTTGTGACTATCTTAATTTCTAATCGTAATAGCCGACGATTTATCACAAGCTTGACCAAAACGGGTCGTTTGCAACTTGGCAGATGGATTGGAATATGATCGAATCGACAATCCGTTTATCGAGCTGAAGTTCAAAAAAAAATTAAAAGGATATTTTTAATATCGTTAATAAATAAGAATTCCTAACTATTCAATCTGTAGCTGAGGCTTTGGATTTCAAAAAAAGCTCTAACGTTTTGTATAATGCAGAAAATTGTTTAATCAGAATGAAAGCAATAAGAGATGAATGAGGGAAAAAAATTGTAATAGTATCAGGTAGACTTGTAGTTTATTGCTCATATGTCGGCTTTAAACGCATAAAAAATGATAACTAGTAAAGGGTTTTTGAACCATCTTAAGAAGAGCTATGTGCATATTCTCATAGCTAAATTATTGTATTCATAGCCCTTCCCAAGGCGAATAACATACCTTCTTAATGACCCGAATTCGAGCCAATGAATAGGTTGTATTTATCTCGCCCATTGTTTACCATTCATAATCTATTATACTTATTGTCACAACCGTCAGTTCCAAAGATTGGAATTCATAATTAATCCTCACCAAACAATTCAGTCAGCTTCTCTTTCAAAGGTTTCAACCATGATGGTTTTATTATACAGTCATTCATGCCGGCCTCTAAACATTTTTCACGAATTCCTGCTGTGGCAGATGCGGTCAATGCAATAATCGGAATCTTCTGAAATTCCGGACCCAATAACCTGATTGCTCGAGTTGCTTCAAATCCCGACATAACAGGCTAGAATTAATCGAAATACAAACGAGTAAGTGAATGAACAAAGCTTTGCACTCTAGTTACAGATAACAGTGGTTCATTATAATTCGCATCACAGACTCATGTCCTTATTATTCCAATAGGTTAAGACGTTAAAGTCTGAAATACCAACCAACAGGTGGGAACCAAGTTGCTCAATATCAATTATTATTATTTTCCTTACCATTGAACAGTTCATCAGAATCAACAATATATCCGTTTTGGTTTCTAATGACTGAGAGTCAACCGCGTTAGAACTACTGCTGCTTTCGCATTGACTCTTCCCAAATCTCGTCTTCATAAATTCAACAGCTTCTTTTCCATTTTCTGCTTTTATATACCGGTAACCTAACTTTTCCAATTGTATTTGGACAACCTACGAAACAATGAACGCATTGGTATGCAACATTCTTCTAGTTAAGATACAGCATTTAACTTAAACTATACCTTTCGTTCGGTGGCGTTATCTTCCTTATATTTATGAATAGCACGAACGAAATAGTGAATACGTCGTCAGTGTTAATAGAATTTTCATAATTTTTAACTGAAATAGATGCCAGGAAGTATTGAATTAATTACCACATGAAGTATATATTTAGATGATTTTGCAATTCTTCTTCTTGAAATGTCTGTTCTTTCCTCATCGTTATGTTGATCCCTGAGTTCGCTAGAAGCCAATCTCTTTATTGGAAGAGGTCTAACAGTGACAGCTTCAGGCTTAAATTCACTCTCACTTTTTGAGGACATTTTAACACCTCGCACCACCGCTGGTCCGTCTGGATAGCTAGTTACAGGTCGGTTATGATAATAAGATTTGTCATACGCCGACAGACGAACCTTTTCGTTATTCTCGTTTCCAGGCCCAGTCATAAACATATCGAAATTTGAAATACATTCCATCATACGCTTCCGTGTTATTGGCTTACAGATAGCGGCAGCATTGTCTCCTATTCTTTCGATCATATCCTTTCCGAGAGAGCATCCTGCAATTGACCAGAACACCATCAACACAATCGATAAATGGTTTCCACAGATATGCTTCAGTTCTTTGGCCACATTCTCGACTTGCATAGCATTATTGTTTCCCACGCTGAAAAATACAAATTCGCAAAGGGGTCTACCGTATTTCTTTTTATGTTCTCTGGCCGCCTCAAGTGCGCTGTTACAATCTGAATATGTATATACCGCTTCGACGCTTCCTCCTATCAGAGTAGCGTAAGCTGATCTAGCCACCTCCACAGAATCGATAATAAGAACTTTTCTAGATTTTGCTGACAAAAAGCCTTGGCATTTCGGTTGGTCTGGCTGAGCTTGCAAAGTGTTATGGTCATGTAACATTGGTACAGTTGACAGAGGCATACGTTCGATATTCCAGATAAACCAGAATTTACTTCCTCTACCAAGCTCACTTTCAACCCCAGATTCACCACCGCTCAGGTTAATTAGATTTCTACATATAGAGAGACCTAAGCCAGTACCATCTTTACCACGAGTCATCGAAGCATCTCCTTGATAAAAACTTTCCCAAATACGTTCAATAGACGCCGGATCAACGCTAAAAATGGTTTAGAATGAGAACGGAAGGAAGAAAGAGGAAGGCACACATGGTAAAGTAAGATCTTACCCCACACCAGTATCTGATACTTCCACATATATGCGATCCTTATAGTTGTCGCAAAATTTATCACCAACTGTTATATCATCGCTGTTTCTTATTGACAGTTTTACTACAATTTGACCACTATCCGTAAACTTTATCCTAATAAATTGAAAGCATTTAATATTTCGTTATTAAACAGTACTATTTGCAAGTAGCTGATAAAGAGAATTCACTATTCTTACGCATTAGATAATAGATTCAGTATCACTTGTTGCAGTCTCTCCGGATCTGTCTTTACATATTTCGGAAGTACCAGTGGCTCATATAAAACGATCAACTCAAGCTCCTTTGCGCTCGCACGCTCACCAAATACTATTATAGTCTTTTCTATAAAATCAAATAAATCAAAGGTACGGTTTATCAAAGTAAGCTCGTGTTTTCTCAAACTCGCTGCATCTAGGATATCGTTCACTACGGACAGGGCAGCATTGGTTCCACGTGATGTTACGTCAACAACATCCTGATGTTCAGGTGTAAGGGGTGTCCTTTCAAACGCAGTGAGTGTCCCAGAAATTGTGTTCAACAGAGTACGAAGCTCTATTGATTAACCAAATGTTGTTATTGTATTCGCTGGAAGTAAGCGTCAGTACAACAACTTCTTACCATAAGACGTATTGGTTAATATCAGACTTTTGGCTTTATTAGTTTCTTTAGCAGCCTGGACTTGTGCTTCTCGCTTTAGTTTCTCTTCGACAAGGATGGCATGGCTGATGGCTAGACTCGTTTGGTTTGAGACCTGTCGCAGGAAAGCTCTCTCCCGCTCTGTCCAATTACTACCTGGTTGGCGGTAAGCAACAAACCATCCCCAAGGAGATGATTTCAGACGAATAGGTACACTGATAATGGAAACATGCTGATGCAATATTCTCGAGTTGCAATCTGTACATATTTTTACATCCAAGTTGTCAGAATCACATTCTTCATACAATAGCATATGTGATCTTGCATGTCTATGACAGTGGTCAATAGTACACTCCGAAATTGTTGAGGTTTCACTACCGGCCGTGTTTTTGTCATCAGCTGAACATGAAAATTTACACCCAACAATACCATCTTGTATACCGATTGCTGAATGCAACGAAGCAGCCATCACCTTACAGCCATTTCCTTCTTCCGCAATAAGATCCTTAGTTATCATCAAAGAATCACATGATAAAACTTTTTTAATTTCTGAAATGGCAGTCTCAAGGGTTTCTTGTACCCCGAAACCAGAGCGTATTTTGTTCCCAATCGTAAATAACATTTGCGTAAACTCAATATTATGCTGCTGTTCCGCAATAAGTTGACGACGGACATGATAAAGCTTGATGTTCACACGAACGCGAGCCATAAGTTCACGAGCGTTAAATGGTTTAACTATATAATCGTCTGCCCCTTTTTCCAATGCTACAAATTTATATATCTGGTTATTGAAAGAATGTTTTCGCAAATGTTATCAACTATATCTACTTTCAACAACTACAGCTTACCTTCAACACTGGCTTCTCCTGTTAAAGCTGACATCATAATCACCGGTATCGTTTGCGTTTTCGGATCGTTGCGCAGTGCAGTAAGCAGTTCATAGCCATCCACGTTTGGCATCATGACATCTTGTTAAGCAAAACAAAGGTTAACATAAGACCAATCTATAACGACTTAGCAAAACGTACGAGTCTCACCACAAAGAATCAAGTCAGGTAATCGTGGCGAACTTTTTACGATTTTGAGCGCATCATGACCATCAACAGCGCAGAGACAATCGTACTGTTTCTTAATCAGAGCACTCAAATAGTTTCTAGAATGAAAATGTAAAACTACATTAATAGCGTGAAGCAAATGAAGTTGACTCAAGTTAACAAACCTCATATCCGTATTATCATCGACAACTAAGACAAGGGCTCTTGTATTTTCAGTGTTGACATAATCGAGATCCGCATGCAACTGTTTTTTTAATGGCATAGAAGGCAAATCATAGGTTTGTACCAAACCACGGTGATCATGCTTACTGGACAGCTCATCAGTTTCTGAATATTGCATACGTTGCATACACTCGCTCAGGTACAAGTCAATAGTCGAATGAGATTCGTTTCCATGTGAGACGCCAGGATAAAGTTGGTTTCGTTCGGCACAAAAGTGAACTTGTTTCTTCGGAAGATGTTCATATCCGGTGGGAAACCAAACACGGAAGGTAGTACCAATGCCCACTTTCGACTTAACCGAGATCTCACCACCATGTTGCATGATGAGCTCCTTAACTAGAGAAAGGCCAATCCCAGTACCTTCATGACCGCGTGAATCTTGAGACTCGATGCGGTAGAAGCGTTGGAAGATGTTTGAGAGATGCTTTTCTTGTATACCGATGCCTAAGAACTGCAATCAGTTATTTGATCCATATTGCGAACGTTGTACGATGTAAAGTAGAATTACTTGTACCTGTATCGGATACTTCAAGTACTACGCCTTCTCTGTCATCTTTTTTCTCTACAAATAATCGGACAGTCACTCCACCGGTAAACGTATAATTAAATGCATTTGAACCTAATAAATCAGAATGGATTAATCGTTGTTAGGTAGATGATAATATTTATATCAGATAAGCGTTTGTTACTTACATAAATTAAACAGTATCTTTTCGTACATCTCATTGTCCAAAAATACTTTTTGTTTCATTTGGCATGCAAGATCTTGATCACTAGGAATATCGATATTAAAATAAAGACCGAAAGATTTTGCCATGCTTTCAAAACTTGCCGCTAAATCTTTTGTTAACTTTGCAATGTCTGACTCAAAAAAATATGCCAAAAGTCTATTTGTTTCTACATGAGTGAACTGATAGAAACAAGTGTTAGTATTAGACATATCAAGTAATATCTGTATATAGAGATGGTGAAGAAAGCATTTTAGCTTGTACTACCTGAAGTAAATTATCTACTAAGCTTAATAATCTTCGGTTACTATTTCGAATTCGTTTGAGATGACCTAATATTGGAGAGCTCTCCGAGCATAACCCAGTTGCCTCCTCCAAAGGTGAAAGCATTAAAGTCAGCGGACCTATATGGAATAATGAGCAATTATAAATTAGCATATTGATTACGCGAACAAGGCATATGGAAAGTAATGTCGAAACAACATTAACATAATAAATGAAGATACATGTAACTGTGAACATACTTCGTAATTCGTGACTGATGCTTTGAAAGAACGCGATTTTTTGTCTGTCTAACTCAGCCAGCACATCTTTTCGTTTCTGTTCTCCTTCTCGCGCTCGACTTCGTGTAAAGCTAGAACTCATTTGGCCAACAACAAGCTATAGAAATAGGGAAAAAAAACCTATATAAAAATTTCATATACTATCATACAAGCAATATGCAATATTATCATACTTGGAGAAATTCTTTATATTCGTTATCGAATACTCGATGATTGTTAATGCCAAATATCGCCACAGCAGTCAATACGCTTTTCCCATAGTATATTGAAGACACTGGACACAATACGGCTATAGAGTTGTCAGGCAATCTTATAACTACGTTCTCATCATTGAACACCGCGCGTTTTATTGGCCACGGATTAGATGCATCAGTATATGCACGCATGCTGTCAGTATCTTGCCTGGAATCTGTCAAGTTTATCAGATCAGGGGTCCTTAGTAAATTATCGGGTAGCTCTCTGCTGGATTGACCATGTATGTAGATATATTCGTCAGAACCATCGGCTCTTTTAAAAAGCTGTAAATCATGATCAAATGTTGTAGCTTCTAGTTGTACTCTTTGTGGTTTGTCTTCATGTTCTCTTTTTTGATTTTCAACAAGATATAATATTGCATACGGTATATCCGCGTTATTATCACGGAAAATCTTGGTAATTGAATGGCAAACACTTTGAATTGACTTTACTCCTGCATGAATTGCAAGCGGTCAGTAAGGATAGTGATAAATAGACAAATAGCACGAACAATGATGTTCATTAACGATTCACAGTATACATACCTTGCGTTCCATTAGCAAGTTCCTTTAATAATTTCAGTCTTCTAGTCATAAGAACTTTTTGTGTAATCTCTTGCAAAAGACAGATTACTCCTCCTATTCCCCCATCATCAGTAAATATAGGACTGAGCGAAAATGTACAGAATATCTCTTCTAAATAGCCAGTTCTATTAAGATATGCAGGGAACTCTTCTTGGAATTGACCTTTTCCTGCAAAGGCTCTACAATATTCAGATGAACAGTAATGATAAGTCCTAAAAAACACAAAAAAAAGTTTGTTTCTTTCTATTTTATACGTACGCTTTAAATAATGGATCCAGTTGTTCGTGCGCATCAGGATAGTATTCTAATCCAGGCTTCCCCAGGGCTACTAATTTGTTAGTATCCACGTGATATTAATATCACGAGATAAATCTGAACACTTACCATCAGGATGATCCGCCTGAAAAATTGGTCTCCATACTGATATTTTAGAAGGGCAAGTTATAAATAAAGGATTCGAGGTTTTTTGTATCATAATAGGTTTCGTCTACTCACCCTGGTTGTATATCATCCTTCTTTCAGGTCCAATATATAATGTGATGGGAATCACCGAGTAAAGACATAAATTCTGGGACATCGGACATTAAAACGGAAGTGAATTATAATTCGTGCATCGTATTCACACACAGAACGCCTTCAAATTTTATGTATCGTCATCATCTATGTTCATTACTTACCACAACTGACTTCAGCCAGAAAGGCCAATTGTCCATGGGCCCCAATGGTGTAGACGCCCAATCGAAGGACCGCACTAACTCTGCTACGGGTGTTTCATCATCAAAATTTGTTGGGGCGGCTATTGCATCTGGAGTGGTTGTGAATTTCGTCATAGCTACGAGATATACGTCGAAGCTACGGGTTTTGTTTTATATGCAATAATTTTCGTGCTCATTAGAGTGTGTTAGTAGAAGACCATCTGCGTGTGCAACGTAGCGGTTGGCTTAGTAAGCATCTTAATCTCTCCTAGATTCACCCAGAACGAGTCTAGAACTCGTGTTCAAATTAGAACAACAATAACGAACTGGTTATTTCGATTTCAGATCCCCGAAGTCAATTATTATGATGATTTGTGCAAACTGCTGCTATCTTTTATTGGAGTGCCAAGAAATGATCTGATCAAATACTGTGCAATGTGGCTTTGGTGAATATAATAGAAGGAAAAGGCATACATTGATTCTCCATAAATCGGTTATAAATTTATACATTGTACCTAACTATCAAACAGGGGTCTAATATTTTGTACAAAATCATTACCATTCATTCGGTACTTAACTTAGGACTCAGCACTATTGACTATGGGATCAATCCATCGTGGAGGTTAGAGATCTATCTCGGGGCGTGATAAGAGTTTATGATATTTTCGACTAGAAATAATGATGCTGGGTAATCACGTATGATCCATCGCCTATTTATTGCAACCCAAAAGGGGTATAAGCGGAGCGACACAGTTCATGTATCTTCTGGTAGAGATACTCACGTCAATAGCAATGTTCCGCGTTGGGTAAGATGCATAGTAATAATCGAGCTGCATATTACGTGTAAGGAAGGCTTTTGTAAAGGTGAGTAAGGTCTGAGATTCAATCCATTACGTTGTATTGTTTACAGTGTGGTGATACTGATAGTTTTGATCTCATTGCTTACTAGAATCTTGTTTATAAGAAAACAATGCTACGGTCGTACGATAGTGTCTTTACTGCTATATAATCGTACATTTTACAAGACACACAGCCTTACAATGACACGTCACGTTAATGTCTCAATCATACGATTAACCTTTTAATTGTGTGTTGCTTCAACGTTAATTATTCGCGTTTGAGAAAGCTCTGGCCGGAATGTTATGACAGAAAATAAGGGCAAGTTTGATATAATAAATTTGTTTGCATCATACGCTTCTAATAATTGGAAATATCAACAGACATTACCAACAGTGATAAAAATAATTTAGTAAATAAAATAATTCAGTAAATAGAAATAATCTAAGTGTAATAAACATTATAGAACTGGCTACATGTTGGTTATACCTGAATTCTGCATAAAGATTCCTATAGTGCCAGACTTTAACTCTCTTCAAAAGGGATAACTCCAATTGTGGTGGTCATGGGTGATTGCAACCTTTATTCCCAATAATAATAAAGTTGGCTCTTAAGTATTACGGTCGGGAATTAAATTGGGGATTTTGGGAGAGCGATTTATCTTTTCGTGTAGGATCGGGGGATGTTACCAGGCTTAGCTCGTACTATCGCCCTTACTACGATAGTTGTGCAATTAAGACTGAATTAAGCTTC